TCACTGTGGAAAACATTAATTTAAGGTTATCTTTTGAGTAAGTTTTAAGATATTAATTAGTAATTATAGGCGTCTAATGATTATTTTTTACGTTACGATATATATTATTATTAAATTAAAAATTCTAAATAATATTTTATAAAATATCAAATAATCAAATAATTTTTGTGCAAATGAAATTATTAATTAATATTGTAGGTGGAAAACATGAAACACTATTAAAAAATTGAAACATAAATTACATAACTTTAAAAGAAGTATCGATCATTTTTTATAAAAAGTATGGACACTTTCAATATAATAGGTAAAAATATGATGTAATAGGTAGCGCTTATATAATGTAATATGTATCGTATATAATGTAATAGGTAGTGGTTATATTGTAAAGTGTCTATCCTTTTTATATAAGTGTCCATACTTTTTTCACTGTGGAAAACATTAATTTAAGGTTATCTTTTGAGTGAGTTTAAGATATTAATTTAGTAATTATAGGCGTCTAATGATTTATTTTTTACGTTACGATATATTATTATTAAATTAAAATTCTAAATAATATTTTATAAAATATCAAAAAATCAAATAATTTTTTGTGCAAATGAAATTATTAAATTAATATTGTAGGTGGAAAACATGAAACATATTAAAAAAATTGAAACATAATTACATAACTTTAAAAGAAGTATCGATCCTTTTTATAAAAAGTATGGACACTTTCAATATAATAGGTAAAAATATGATGTAATAGGTAGCGCTATATAATGTATAGGTATCGTTTATATAATGTATAGGTAGTGGTTATATTGTAAAGTGTCTATCCTTTTTTAAAAGTGTCCATACTTTTTTTACTGTGGAAAACATTAATTTAAGGTTATCTTTTGAGTGAGTTTTAAGATATTAATTTAGTAATTATAGGCGTTAATGAATTTTTTACGTTACGATATATATTATTAAATTAAAAATTCTAAATAATATTTTATAAAATATCAATTAATCAAATAATTTTTTGTGCAAATGAAATTATTAAATTAATATTGTAGGTGGAAAACATGAAACACTATTAAAAAAAATTGAAACATAAATTACATAACTTTAAAAGAAGTATCGATCCTTTTTATAAAAAGTATGGACACTTTCAATATAATATAATGTAATAGGTAAATTTACAATACTATCGGTATAAATATACCGGTTTACTTATAAAATAGGTAAATATAAGCGCTACCTATTACATTATATAAGCGCTACCTAGTATGTTATTGTACTTTATAATATTTCTGGTTAAATAATATAACATAACCGGTATAAATTTTAACCGATCAATTATTTAACCGGTCACGCCGTATATTAGCCGTTTTTTAGACGCCGCACCGCAGAACTACCCCTTCCCTGACCCCACAAAATCTTTTAAACTTTTCTTTTTCTTATTTTTTAATCGACCGAAACCTAACCACCACCAAACACCATTGCCGCTGCCTTATCTCACCGCCGTTAGTCATGCGCTGTCATGCCCTTACTGTTCCACCACCGCCGAACACTCTATTCTGTTGCTGCTATTTATTTCCTTCTTTAACCGATCAAGAAATCATGATGATGACAAGAAATCAATCGGACAATCCATCTCACCCACCGGTCACCCTTGGTGGTGGTCGATGACTTTTCACCGCTCCTTTGGTGATCGATATTCTGAGCGGCTCTAACTCGCTGTCATATCCTACTTTGATTCCTCAACCAGCCGCTCGATGTGGAAGGAGACGTGTGTGATAGTCGCGCGCTCACTCACCCACGTTTGAACCAATGCCACCATTATCCGCTCATCATTCATCCAATTATATGGTGCCACTACAAGGTTCTTCCATTCCATCTGGATCACACAAAAATCAGCCATCCTCTTCGGCCACTCCGACATTTTATTCAATGCCATCCGTGACACATTCACAATCGATGCCGGATATCGCCCATTAAACTCATTCGGCAGTACCCGAATTACCCGAGGTAAATTCTACTCCTTTCAATATTGAATCACTACTAATGTGGCATCCTATTTTTGTATTTTTAGACAACTTTGCTTTCGAATTTTTGAATCTGCCACCACAACCAAGCCCCGAGTCGACGTATTCCTCTAGTCGAAACCGTGACCAACAATAACATTCACCATCATTTCATTTTTAAATTTTATACGACTTACATTTTTTCCAAATCGTATAACATCTAATACAACGCCGAGTGTGATTTTATTTAGATTACTTGGATAACATTTCATTCAATCGTTAGCGGATTTTAATTTTTCTATAGTGGACCATATTTTTTAACCGCTTTACATGAGATTTCGTAGGACTTCAAAAATGGATGTAGCATACGAAAGACTTACCGATTTTCTCGATGCTACCTACAATGCACGCAACACCAAGGGATGGCAAATTCACGAATCCCACTTTTCGCTACATACACCAGTTCCTTGCATATAGTTATTCCGAGTGTAATGACACTACGTCCTCGCTAAGTAAGGTTGAATTATTTTTCCTATGGTGTATGCAAACCAGTGTGAAAGTATATTTGGGTTTTTGGTTCGATCACGTCTTTGAGCGTGTTGTGCGTTTCGATCGCCCACTAATTTGTGGACCTTTCATTACTCACCTTGCATCTCATTTATTTCCGTTAACCTTTGATTCTAATCAATTTACTTATGCTTTTGCAATGGATCCTTTGGATGCTAGGTGTTTGGATTCTAATCCGCGGCACCTGAGTAACATCCACCCTCGGACGTGCATAGCGAAATCCATGAGGTGCATGGTCGGCTAGACTCCATCGAGACCAATATTGTCGAGATACTTTCGTACCTTCTCCAAGGACCTTCTATACGTGGCCACGGCCGTGACCGACATTGATCAGGGATTATTTTCACCCTTTCTTTTGCATTTTACTTTTTATTGTTCATATTGGGGCAATATGATTTTAAGTGAGAAGTGGAATTAGAAATCAAATTAGCATTTTCTTATTATTTGATTGAAATCAAGTTATTTCTTGATTTGAATCATTGATGATCTTGGTTGACAATCTTTAGTTTGATATAATTTCTTTGTGTTTATTTGTAAATTCAAGCATGTTCTTGTTAAATTTAGGATTCAAGCTAGCATGGCATGATTAGTTGACGTAAATTTTTCTTGGTAATTTTATGATTTTGTTGATTGAATTGGAGAGTGTCTTTGTTCAATAGACCTTTCGTGTGATTTTTTAGCCTAATGAGCATATCTTTTATTATTGCTCTTTGTTTCAATTGAGTGTGCCGAACTAATTGATTGCATTTCTAGAACTTGTAACTCGATGCTTATTGAGACTACACTTTTGATTATGATGCTATGATATGATAGAGACATTAGGATTAAACTCGTTTCCCTTCCCAAACAAATAGCCTACCCTTTTTATTTTCCCTAGTGAACCACTTTGAGCCTTATAACCTTTTCTTTGATTCACCGCATTTTTAAACCTGAGCCTATTTAATTTTTCCTCTTTTTTTTTACCCTTCTTCAAGACAAGGTAAGATTATTTCTGAAAAAAACCCAAAAAAACTGTTCGAAAATACAGTGCAGAATCGAACAAAACTGTCCAGAAATTTACCCTGTTCGAACAGCAAAAAAAATAGTACAGTTTGGTTCGAACAGTGCAGGAATTCAGTGCAGTAAAATTCAAACAGTGTAATTTTGATTCGAGTGAGCAGAAAATTTAGGGCAGAATTGTTTTTTTGGTTCGAGCAGAAAAAAGAAAAAATAGAAAAATGAGTGAATAAAGCTTTGTTTTTCTTGTTTTGCCTTCCCTTCATTTTTACCGTCCTTGGAATAAATTTTCGGAATAGTCTCTACTTTGTCTTGAATTTTAAAACCCCATTTCTCGGCCTTTATCTACCCAAACCTTAGCCCCATTACAACACGTTTTGAAGTCCTCTTGATTGTTGCATCATTTTCATACTAAGTAGTGGAGATTAGATTTAGTTACAAGCCTATGGTAATGTGTTGATTAGTTTAGGCTTGAGCGATTCTTTCACCCGAAACACATGAGCGAAATGAGTGAACCCATGAGAGGAACTAAGTCTTGAATTCTTTGAAATTGATGTATGATTGAAATGTCATGATTGATTTACATTTAATTGATTATGCCTTGCTTGATTGATCTTGAATTTCAACATTTACTTGACTGAGTTTGCTTAGAAACCTTGGAAATTCTGTGAAATTGAGATTGACAACTTTAGATTTTTGCCATGGTAATTGAGAAATGCTTGAGGACAAGTATTGAATAAGTGAGGCGGAATTTGATTAGTGTTTAAATTGTACATTATTTTATGATTAATTACTCCTTGATTAGATAATTTTAGTTGCTAACTTGGGCCATTTTATTCATTTTCGATGTAGGACATTGAATTTAAGAAATTATGCTTAAAACAACGAAATCGTGCAATTTATTGATTTTTTTGGATTCATGGCTGGATTAGTGGGCACGACTTGGGACATGACACACTTGACATGACATCTAGTCAGTGGCTGATGTGGCAGCTGATAAGGCGATGATGTGGCGATGACATGGAGGCTAACGTGGCAGTTGACGTGGCGTCCAGTCAACAGTTTCTAGGAGGCCCAATATGCAGCTTCTAGAAGATCCAATCAGTAGTGGCATGGAGAATGAGACTTAATCGAATTTTAATTCTAAATTAGGATTTATCTTATTTTTATTTTTAGGAATTATCTTTAGGAATTATCTTTTGTTTTGGATATTATTTTCTAGATTTTTTTAGAATTATAAATAACCCATTGGAGTAAGCCTCTAAACATCGCTTTTCATTAAAAATTCATTCAACTCTTGTTTCTTTATTCATTTAGATTTATAAAAGCTTTTCTTTCTTTTTATTTTTCAAGTTACATTATTTTTCTTTCAAAATGCTAAGTATGGTTTCTACCATGCTTAGCTAAGTTTTCTATAGCCAAGGGCTAGAGCAATCACTCGATTCTAAGTCATGAGAACGAGATCAAATAGAATATGTTTGTTTCTATTCCGCGTGAGCCACTTATTTCTCTGAAACAAGAGATCAAAGTTATTTTCCTCTTTTTTCCCAATAAGTCGACAGCCTTGCACCATTGAGATACTTCGAATAAAGTAGAGTCTATATAGGATACACCGCTGCTAAAACCTGTTCTCAAGATATCCTCCAAGCCTTGGGGTCCTTGCTCCGGATGTTGTTCCCCCGGCGTGAAAGCAGTTGGTTTCGTATGTAGTTTTAGAATTCTACTGATCCCAAGTACTCTATCTCCATCATTGCATATTGGAATATAGAAAATAAAGAGGAAAAGGTATAACCAGAACAATTGTGAAAAATAAGTCAATTTATCCAATTGAGGCATTTTTATTTATTTTTTCAAAATGATTCCCTCTAGACAGAAAGAGAAAGCGAGTCCTTCCTTCTTGTAGGAGTAATGAAGAACTATGGTTTACTTTTGTTGGTTGTTGACCAACGGAAGACATGGCAGTTTTGGGCGTAAAAGTGTCTTTCTTCTCTTATGATATTTCTACGAAAAGCACTTCTTACCCTCATGGGTTACATTTTTAGTTTTCATAAATCAAGGATCGGTAATTGACCATACTTTTACAATCAAAACGATTTCATTTCAAAAAATGCACGTTGGAATTGAATTTTGGTTTCGATTATTAGTTGGGAGGAAGGATCGGCCTGTGGCAAATTCGACTTCCTGCGAACACACTTAGCGACGGTCCTTTAAGGGAAACTGAAATTCGGTTAGATTCTCAATTGAGACGATATAATCCGAGTCGGGTTTTTCCATAATTTAAAAGCATTGAATTAATAAGCAATTGTCGCTATTAACTCACAAAGAGTTAAGATTTAAAAATTGATTTTAGATTCTCGATTCATTTGAAAGAAAAACAAGTTATAGGGGTTGGTCCCTATAGACTATAACCGGCTTGAGCCTGAAGGTAAAATCTTATTCAATGATCTATTAAAATCGAGGCAAAAGCTTTAGCCCAAGGTTGATTTTTACCAATTGAATTTTATTTTCTTTATTAACTATTTTATTTTATTTCAATCAATTTTATTACTTCGCTTTAATTCTCCAAAATACCCCTCTAATTTCTTTTACAAATCATGTTTGAAGCCAGATCAAAAGCGAGGAAATCGTCAAACTCCTAGTCCCTGTGGATCGACCCTTATTCTCACTATTCTAATTATTCTTATTCATTTTATTAGGATTAAGGCTATTTATTTTGACATCATAACGACAACGTGTCATATATATACACACGCAATAACCATATTATAATATATAAAATATATAAAAAAATCAAAATAAATCTCCGGACGAAAATATGTGTCTACACCATTGATTATTAAAAGTTAGAAAATAGTCACATGATTATTCATATGTTACAAACTCATCAATTTTTTTTTTTGTTAAAAACTTGATAGCCATTTGAGCTAGACGTTAACCTACTCACTAGTATATGATAAAATCTAATTCTCATAACTGTTTGAGTTTTATTTTATGGATCGAGTTTCTATTTACATTATGTTGTCGAGCTAGTGCTTGAAACATTATATTGTCAAACCAATGATTAAAACAACGGCGGCGCCAGTAGACATTAATTTTATTATATCTTAGTCAACAAATTAATGTCTAGCTTAGAAGGTCGTTAATTTTTGAACATAAAAGGGTAACTTTGGAACATATGAATAGTTGGGTGACCATTTTGTAACTTTTAATAGTCGAAAGACTTAACAAAGTAGCGCTTTGTAATTGGAGGACCATATTGTAACTTTTAAGAACAATTCATATACTATACCCTAGAATTTAATAGAGTAAATATTTAATCATAAAATCAAATTATAAATCCAATTATTTTTTTGATAAATTATAATATATGACTGTAAAAAAATAAAACATAAAAATCATGTGATAACCTTAAAGAGCACGTTGATGTCATTCCAAGAATGATTACTTGTTAATTTCAAGAACCGTTAATTGTTGTATTACTCATTCATCGTTGTTTTCTCTTATAAAAATATTTCTTTTATTTTGTTTTTGTAATGTTCAGGTGATTTTTCACTTCCAAATGACAATTATTATTACTTTCTTAATTGATACTTTCGTCATTATCTCCTCTGTTGTTAATTTTTCTGTCTTTTTGTGTTCTAATGGACCAAACAAAATCAATCAAAATAATATATGACGCCTCATGTCTCTTTTCTTAAACAAATTTTTTTCATCAATGCAAAACACCCAGACCGATGTTGTTACCTGCACCACCAGTAATTTCATAGACCACATAATGTGGGAAAGTTTAAGGAATAATCGCCTAATTTAAGATTAAGAAATGATGTGAAATGGGTACAATCGAAAAAAAACATAAAATTTTTAGTTGGACGCAACCTAAAATGTTAATTTTTTTCTAATATTTTTAGTTGAATCGAAAATGTTATATTTTTCGTAATATTTTTTGTTGAATCGAAAATGTTAGAAAAAAGTTTTTATTTTAGATTGTGTCCAATCGAATATTATGTTTTTTTATCACATTTTCAATTACACTCATTCATTGTCATTTCTTAGCCTTAAATTAAGTGATTGTACAATAGAACTTCCTCAAAATGTTCTTCCATATCAAGTTACGGTATGCTGCTGCTAAGGAGGATATTCTTCATCGGAGCCCTTGGTCCTTTAATTACAAATCGTTTTCTCTTCTTGATTTCAATCCATTATGTTGCCTAGAGGACTATGATTTCTCATGTTTGGAGATTTGGGTAAGGGTTTATGAAGTTCCTTTAGGTCTTATGACCAAAGCAATGGCTATGTCTCTTGGAGGAAGTCTGGGAAAGATTCTGGTTGTGGATATGAGAGTCTTAAGAGGTAATATGGGTGATTTTTTTGCGTATTTGGATATGGATTGATTCATTGAAAACATTACGCCGTTGTGTTGCTCTTGCAATCCCAGGTTGCTCCAAGCCTAAGTTGTGCCTAGTCTGTTATGAAAGATTGCCTATGTTTTGTTTTGGTTATGGTTTGCTGGGTCACCAGGCCTTTTCTAGCAGAACTGTGAAAGTGGGAGCTTTAACAAAGCTCCAATATGGCGAACGGATGCGTCTACCGCCTCAAAAAAACCTGCTGGAGGTAGTCAAGTTAAGTCAGATTCAAAGGAAGATCAACCTCCTATTCGTCCTGTTGCTATGGCCTTAGGCACATACAAATTGTTAATGTCGGTGCAAACGTTTTGCTGAATGTGAATTGGCTCCCAATGAAAAGGAAGTGGTTCGACTCCTATTTTTGTTGTTCCAAAGAGTGCTGGAATAAAGGGACAACTGATGGCGAATAGTAGACTTAACAAGTGTAGTTTATAAGGAAAGTACGTGATTACTAATCCGATTTTAAGTAAGAGGACAAGGATGAGCAACATTGAAAACTCTTTGGCAGTGGTTGAGCATCAACCCCATTGGGATCAATGATAGTCTTGTGTAGGAACTATCGTGGGTTGAACAACGTTGCGGCAGTTCGTGTCGTGAGCTGGTATATCGGTAAAAAGAATGTTAATGTCGTTTTTTAAGTGAAACTAAAATAAAACGGGACAAGAGTAGTTATCTTCGTAGTAAACATAGTATGGATAATTGCTTTGTAGTGAACAAAAGCAATACTTGTACTGGTTTGATACTCTTGTGGCATAATAATATATTAATGTTGAGATTTTGTTGTATTCTTGCTATTATACTGATGTCATTGTTGATTCGGATGGTGAACGGATCCATTTCACTAGGATTTAAGCTAGCTATCAAAATCTTTTGAAGCATGTAATATGGTTTTCCATGGTTGTTGGGAGGTGATTTTAATGTTATTTTAAGTGACTCTAAAAAGCAAGGGGTCGAAGAAAGTCTTCAAATGACGAAGTTTCGGGAAGTATTTGAGTGTAATGAATTGTTTGATTGTAAACCAACTAGGGGCTGGTTCACTTGGCATTATTGTAGGACGAATGAGCATTCCATTAGAGAACGGATAGATCGCTTTGTTGCTACTCAGAGTTAGATGTTGTCATTCCTTATCAGTCAGTTCAGTACGGAATTCGCAAAGGCTTCGGATCATTGCAATATGGTAATAGATACTAATTGTTCGAGGAACAAGCATGAATCTTCTAGTTCTGGTTTCTTTCGTTTTGATCTTTGTTGGGCGAGTGAGATGGCGTGTAAGGCTAAAGTGTGTGTTGCGTGGAATGCTCCTTCTACGAACACCATTAAAAAATTCATGCAGTTGGGGAGGCTCTTGAAAAGTGGCAGCGTGATCATTGGTGCAATACTCAAAGCAGGATCAAAGCCCTTCATGATAGTATTAATAATTCTTTACAGAAACGTCTTTCGAATTCTGAAGCGCAAGAATTTATTCGTAATAAAATTGAGCTTAAAACGTTGCTTGATAATGAGAGATTTATTGGCTTCGGCGATCGAGGGTGGCGTGGTTATCCCATGGAGATCATAATGCATCTTACTTCCATGCTAGGGCGAATGGGAGAAAAAAAGAATCGTATTCATGGCCTTTATGATGTTCAAGGGATTTGGAGGATTGGTAAACATGATATAATGCGCATTTCTGTTGATTATTTGAGATTTATTGGCTTCGGCGATCGAGGGTGGCGTGGTTATCCCATGGAGATCATAATGCATCTTACTTCCATGCTAGGGCGAATGGGAGAAAAAAAGAATCGTATTCATGGCCTTTATGATGTTCAAGGGATTTGGAGGATTGGTAAACATGATATAATGCGCATTTCTGTTGATTATTTTGTGAATATATTTGTTTCATCTAATCCAGAGATTGATGAATCTATCATTGATCTATTATTCCTATAATTACTCCTGATATGAATCATACACTATGCCCACCCTTTACTTCTAATGAGATTACTGCAGCTTTCGAGATATTAATCCTAGGAAAACGCTAGGTATTGATGGACTCCCTGCCAGTTTCTATCGGCTACATTGGAATCTTGTAGGCAAGGATATGATTCACCTTTTTTTTGGAATTACTACAAGGTGAGATGGATATGGGGCTAGTTAATAAGACGATTCTTGTTCTCATTCCCAAGG